CAGCTAAGTTCATCAGATCAATTTTATTGACTCTAAGATAATATCTGATATGTCTTAAATAATGAACCTGGCTCTGCATAGAACAACAAGAAAAATTAAGCATAGAAATGACCCAATGACTATAAAATGATAGAAAGGAGATACAGGGACAAGATATGGGATTTTCCCTTTTTTAAATATGAGTCATGGAAATGAAAAGCAACAGAGAATGAGTGAGAAAATAATATCTATGTAGTAGGTGGTTAGGATTGTGAAATCAATAAAAGTATATAAGAATATATAATATTATTTTACAGTAGTTTTCTAAAGACCAAAACTAAATCAAAATAGAAATTTGAACATAATATGTAAATTATAAGGGACAGCATCTGCTAGCTGTGAAATACTGAGGGTAAGCATCACCCTTCTAATAAATTCTAAAGAAAAGAAAACTACAGGTAAATTGCTCCTTGTCTGCACAAATAGAAAATTTTCAGTAGAGTTTTTCAACTATAATAATGCAATATATTAAAAGGAAAATTGTAACCAAAGGAGGTTTATTCCAGAAACACAAAGAAAATTTAGCATTTCAAAAATAATCATTGTAATTTGCCAAATAAACAAATTAAAAATGTGTGATCACCATTATAGCAACAAAAAATAACTTGGCAGATTCTACCATGCATTTCAGATTAATAAAAAAACAAAACTCTGAGAAAGGTCAAACTAGAAGGGTTTTATTAGCATAATTAGCAATTCTCAGAAAATAAAGCCTTCACATCATACCATCCATGATTTTGAAATGCTGTTTTCCCTCTAAAATCAGGATAGGCCAACGATATCCACTCCTACCACTAAAGTTATCCTGGAGGTTCTAGTTTAATGAATAATTTTAATGAGAAATCAAAGACATGGCTTACCAATACAGTAGTAAAGCTGGCTTACAGAGTCTATGGAACTTGCAAAAAGTCTATTGTAACTAATTAGCAGGTGTAGTGGAGGCTGGTTGAGGATAGAAGATTAATAGAAAGTATCATTTTTATTTTATAATCTCATTTAAATGCCAAGAGATTAAAACTAAAACAGAAATTGTATTGTTAAGTTCAAAAGCTACAGATTGGGAAAGCAATGGGCCCCAAAATGACACAAGAAAACTTTGGAAAGGTATTTATATTTGTTTTTATATTAATATATATTCTTATTGAAAACATTTTTATGCAATATATTATGACCATGGTTTCCCATCCTCCAGATACTCCCAGATCACTCCTACCTCCCCATGTACCCAATTCCATGCCTTCTTTCTCTGTTTTTAGGAAAAAACAGGCAAATAATACAAACAAATAAACCAGAGTTTTTAAAGAAATAAATGAAAAAGGATAGAAACACATATACAAACAATCCATAAAACACAATATGGGTAACTGTAATATATAAAAAAAACCAAATACCAGTAAGATTTTTTAAAATGCCCAAATAAAGCAACATGAAACAAAAATAAGTCGACAAAAGTATCACCGAGTTCATTTTGTGTTGGTTGTCTACTGCTGGGCATGGAGTGTGCCGTAAGTGCTGTACTCAGATTCCATAGGAGATAATTCATTTTTCCTTTGCAATTGGCTGTCTATTGAAGACAGCATCTTGGTTAGGCATGGAAATTCATACCTCCTTCCCCCTATCAGTGCTGGGGTACCCATCTGGCTGAGACATGTACAGTGCCAGTGCATGCTGCCACAGTCTCTGTAAGTTCACACATATATCAATCAGTCCAATTCTATCTGCGAGGTACTGTCTTCTTGGTAGCCTTCATCCTCTCTGGCTCTTAAAATCTTTCTGCTCCTTCTGCAGGGCTTAGTTTCCCAAGACCTATTTAAATAGATTAACAAAACTGATAAATATCAAATACACATACCATAGGAATAAATATTGATAAGGAAATGTGACCAACTTGATAATACAATGCTATTATTTAGACAAATTAAATTCCTTTTTTTTGTTTTTTTCCCAACTTTTTATTTGAATTAGAAACAGGATTGTTTAACATGTCAATCCCAGTTCCCTTCTCCACCCCTGATGCAAATTACCATATCTGAATTAGAAGAGGAAAATTTTTAAACTTTTTTCCTTTAATTACTACTCATATTTACATATCTATCCCCAATTCCCTTGCCCTCCCATCCTCTCATGTTCCCCACCAACCACCCCCCAAACTTCCCCCAACTCCTCCCCAGGGATAGTGAGGCCCTCCTCCAGGGACCTTCAAAGTCCATCATATCATTTGGGGGAGGGCCTAGGCCCTCCTTGCTGTATCTGGGCTGCCGTAGTATCCCTCCATAGGGAATGGGCTCCCAAAGCCCATTTGTGCTCTAGGGATAAAGACTGGTTCCACTGTTAGATGTCCCATAGACTGCCCTGGCCTCCTTGCTGGCACCCACATTCAGAGGCCTTGGTTTGGCCCAATGCTGTTCCCCCAGTTTTATGACTAGGGTCTGCATGCTATCAGTAGGTCAGGTCCACTGTTTCTGTGGGTTTCTCCAGCCCCTTCTTGGCTCCTTTGCCCATTCTTCCTCCCTGTCCACAACTGAATTCCAGTAGTATGGTTCAGTGTTTAGCTGTGGGTGTCTGTTTCTGCTTCAAACAGCTACTGGATGAAGGCTCTAGGAATGGTAACTAAGGGAGACATCAATCTCATTGTAGGGGAAGGTCATCAATGGCATCCTCTCCACCACTTCCTGGCTTCTTAGTTGGGGTCATCCCTGTGAATTCCCTAACATTTCCCCTGTGTCAGACCTCTCTGACTGTACTGACCTGTACTGTCTCCCTCTATCAAGGCATCTCCTTTCTTGCCCTCCTCTATTCTTCCCCTGTCTCGGTCCTCTTGTTCTTCTCCCCACTCCCAGAAGAGGAAATTTTACTAGATCTATAAAAACCTTGGAAATTAAGTTAGCAATTGTAAATAAGGAAGACTGAGATTTTTATATTACCTGTGTTGTAATTTAGAAAAATAAAAGCAGCTCAAGAAAGACACCATGGAACAGAGCTCAAGAAGGATTTTTTATTAAGGGAAATGGATCATCAAAAGGAGAGAGGGGAGGGGAGAGACTGGCCTCCAGGGACAGGGGAAGCAGGAGAAAGGAAAGACAGGCAGAGAGAGAGAGAGAGAGAGAGAGAGAGAGAGAGAGAGAGGGAGAGAGAGAGGGGGAGGGAGAGAGAGAGGAACAGAGAGAAGGGGAGAAAGAAAGAGAGGGGGTATGGGAGGTGGGCAGAGAACATAGTGAATAGGCACAGGTGGTACTCTTAGTGACAGCAGCTGAGGGTTTATCCTGTCAGAACTCCAAAGGCAGGCCAATACAAATGCCTAAATACTGACAATCTGAATCTGCTACAACCGGTATATGGTTTCCAATTATTTGTGTGATAACAAAACATATCTCCAACATCTGTAGTTCCTGGTTCAGTTTAATGAACACATGAGACATATCAGTCTTTAGTCACTGCATTTAATTTAATTTTAAGAAAGCTTGCAAGAGACATCTAACTATTCACAGCAGCATCATAGGTGTGATCTTATTCCACCCCCACCTAGCTTGAAAAATGAAGCTGAGAAATGTGCCAAATAACTCAGTAAACCGCCAGCTCTGAGTTCCCTGGCACTTCCACTCTTTGTCAGTCACACTGTTTCTTGCAGGAGGCTAGACTAAATACAGTGGAGTGGAGGCACAGCTGCATCTCACTAATGGTGGCTATTTATTATAAAGTCTAACCAAGGAGGTATGGTGGCTGATCCTACACCTGTTCCTTTTAATTCTCTTTTAATAGATATTAGACTGTTAGATTCCTAAAAACTACTTCCATTAACATTGCAGATAGGATGTGGCCCTTTGGCTCTTTTGAGGCTAAACAAAAATTCCAAAAAAACACATGATAACTCTCAAAGTCTGGACAGACATTACTCAAAGGCTAACATCAGGTATGTATTCAGGGAATAAGTGATTTATTTTTCTTATGTAAACTTTCACTTGTTTTGAATTTTTATAGTGAGTAGTATTAATTAACTTTGAATTAAAAACTATTTCCAAAAAATAAATCCTTCTAAATAAAATCAAATGTTTATCCAATTTAGGACATAACAGTTGGTGCAGATGGCAAATATTTTTTCACACTTGGCAATATTGAAATAGCAATTTCACTGGCAATCCACAATCTTTAAAAGTGTTTGTGTGTGTGTTGGGGGGAGAAAGACAGACAGAGAGACAGAGACACACAGAGAGACACAGCAAGAGAAACAGAGAGAGACATATAGAAGATGTAGTATTTGTCTTTCTTCATCTGTTTATATCACTACACATAATGATTTTTTAGGTATGTCCATTTTCCTGAAGTTGTTGTAAGTTCATTTTTCCTGATGCATACACAAAATTATGTGAAAATGTGTTTATGTACCACATTTTCTTTATTCACCATTGATGGACACCTAGGCAGGTTCCATTTCCTGCTGTTGTGAACACTGAAGCTATATTTCTTCTCTTGGTAATAGCCACTCAGACTAGAACTAGAACAAGGTAGTTTACATTTGCACTTTCCTGATCTCTAACAATGTTAAACATTTTCCCAATATTTCTTCTGTCAATAACTGTCTGCTTACTTCATTAGCCCTTTTATGGGTTGTATGAATTGGATTTGGGATTTGATTTTTATAACCCTTTATATATCTTTGTTTGATGGAGAGTTGACAGCGATGACCCCACCTGTAGGCTGTCTCTTCATTCAGATGGTTATTTCTTTTGCTGTGCAGACTTTAATTTCATCTAGGTTCGTTTCTCAATTTGTGGACTTATTTTCTGAGCTATTGAACTTTCCAGAAAATCCTTACCTATGCTGATATTAAGTATTCTTACTATTTTCCTCTAGTACCATCAAGTTTTGAAGTTTTGATCCACTTTTAATTGGTTTCGGAGCAGGATTAGAGAAGTGAATCCAGTTTCATGTCTTTACATGGTGAAATCCAGTTTTCTAAGCACCATGTGTTAAACGCCCCTCGCTCGGACGAGTCGGCACGTCTGTCCCGATCGCCATGTCGGGTTCCTCGAGCGTCGCCGCCATGAAGAAGGTGGTTCAGCAGCTCCGCCTGGAGGCCGGGCTCAACCGCGTGAAGGTTTCCCAGGCAGCTGCAGACTTGAAACAGTTCTGTCTGCAGAATGCCCAACATGACCCTCTGCTGACCGGAGTGTCTTCAAGTACAAATCCCTTCAGACCCCAGAAAGTCTGCTCCTTTTTGTAATCATGTATCTTAAGGTTTCTCAAACCACTTTTCATGAACCAGCGACTGTTGAAGAGAATTACATCTGAAGTCTGTACAAAAGCCTGTAACATGTGCCATAACACACAATCTTCTACTTGTCAGTTCTTAACATCTACCTCTCTGAATCTTCATGGATTTCTGTCTCACAAGGTTGAACTATTTTATATACACTGGCTGTAGCATACAATAAAACAGCATACAAAAAAAAAGAGAAACTGTTCTATTCCTCCTATGCATTTTTTTTGACAATTTGTCAAGATGTAAGTAGTTATAGCTTTGTGGATTTGCCCCTGGTTTTTCTATCTTATTATATTGGTCTATATTTCTGCTTTTGTGCCAGTACCATACTGGTTTTGTTACTATTGCTCTAGCATATCATTTGAGATTAAAAAATTGTGAATGTTTCAGCATTTCTCTTTCTACTTACTATTTCTGTCGCTATTTGTTTTTTTTCATGGTTCCACATAAATTCTGGGATTGTTTCTTCTAGTTCTGTGAAGAATTTCATTAGAATTTTGATCGGATTTTATTGAAATAAATGAGAAACATAGGGATATTCAAATATAGATAAAAGGTAACCAGTAAACATAATTGTTGTAATTTAAGAAAAGTGGCATGTGAGAGAAAAATGCCATGCAACAGGGTTCAAGCTGAGGGGTTCTTTTTATTAAGGAACAGGATCATAGAAAGGGGAAAGAGACCGGGGAGACCAGCCTCTGGAGACAGGAGCAGCAGGAGAGAAAAGAGAAGCAAAAGGGGGAAAGGAGAGAGAAGGAGAAAGAGAGGGAGAAGGAGAAAGATGAACAGACAGACCAGAGGTGTAGAGAGAGAGAGAAGGATGGGAGGTGGGCAGGGACCTTTTAAAATGGAACATAGTGAATGTGCACACGTGGTGCTCTTAGTGGCTGAAGCTGAGAGCATATTTTGTCAGAACTTCAAGGACAGGCTGGTACAGATGCCTGAATACTAACAATAACCATTTTCATGAGATAATTCTGCTCCTCCATGAGCATGGGATATCATTCCATCCTCTGGTGTTTTCTTTGGTTTCTTTCTTCAGAATCTTACAGTTATCATTGTAAAAAAATTCTCCTTTTTGTTAAGTTCTAGGCATTTCATTTATTATCTTATTTTATTTTACTGTGTTTCATTTGGAAGCTACTGAAATTGGATTTTACCCCGATTTCCTTCTTAACAAGTCTATTGGTACTTTTCTAGTAAGGTGCATTTCTTACAGACAAAAGATTGTTGCCTCTGTTTTGTTTTTAACTTTTTAAAATCCATCAGCCACTCTGCATCTCTTTATTGGTGAATTGAAGCTATTTGCATTTTTCATTATTTTTAATTACTCCTATTTACGTATCCATCCCCCCCATTCCCTCACCCTCCCATCCACCCATGTTCCCCACCCAACCCATCCCCCCACACTCCTCCCCAGGGATAGTGAGGCCCTCTACCAAGGACCTTCAAAGTCCATCATATCATTTGGGGGAGGGCCTAGGCCCTCCTTGCTGTATCTGGGCTGCAATAGTATCCCTCCATAGGGGATGGGCTCCCTTGGTCCATTTGTGCTCTAGGGATAAAGACTGGCTCCACTGTTAGAGGACCCATAGACTGTCTTGGACTCCTAGCTGGTACCCATATTCAGAGGGGTTGGTTTGGTCCAATGCTGGTACCCCAGCTTTATGACTAGTGTCTCCATTCTATCAGTAGGTCAGGTCCACTGTTTCTGCAGGTTTCTCCATCCCCGTCTTGGCTCCTTTGCTCAACCCTCCTCCCTGTCCACAACTGATTTCCAGTCGTATGGTTCAGTGCTTAGCTGTGGGTATCTGTTTCTGCTTCAAACAGCAACTGGATGAAGAATCTCCTTCCTCTCCCTGCCCCTGGGCTCCAATTTGGTCAGGGGTTCTTGTCTCCATCCCCTTCTTCAAGGGACTATGCAATCTTCTCTTATTCACCAACTCCACATCTGACAGAGGGCTGATAACCAAAATATACAATGAACTCAAGAAGCTAGCCACCAAAACACCAAACAATGCAATTAAAAGATGGAGTGCAGAACTAAATAGACAATTCTCAAAAGAGGAATCCAAAATGGCTGAAAGACACTTGAGAAAGTGCTCAACATCCTTAGCTATTTTCATTTAAAGTTAATATTAACAGATATTTCTAATTCTTACCATTTACTTGATTTTTTTGATATTTGGTTAATTGTGTGCTCTTTGCTTTCTCCCCTATAACATCAGGTGTTTCCTGCTTTACTATGATTCCTTCCTTACTCCTTTGTTCAGTTATCATTATAAAACTCACTCTTTTATAAAAACCCAATCCTGTAATATCAGGATTGGGGCCATCACCCTTCCTCCTCCGTATATTCCTTTAAGTATTTTCAGTAGTACTAGCTTGTTGATAATCAACTGTCTTAGTTTTTGCTACTGAAGAATGTCTTATGAGGTTAAAATTTATTTGTGGTAAGTGTGGAAATAGTAAATAAATAAGGTAAAGGAAGGAAATGGGTAAAGGGAAATATACAGTTAAATAAAAAGAAGAAAGCAGCAGAAAATTTTAAATACTTAAAATCATAAAGGGTTTCCTACTAATGAAAAAACCCTCTAATACACAATTAGATAAATGTGATAAGGAATAAAATAAAAACATTGCACTATTTTAAAAATTCAAGTGAAGTCAAAATACTAGCAAATGTAGAGGGAGGGGGAAGAAATGTGTGGAGCAAAAAAGGAAAAGAAACTAAAACCTACACAAATAAATATTGTCCCGGACTAGAAAAAAATGCATAAACAAATTTTTATGAATTTATAAAAAATAACAAATAAAACATAGTTTTAAAAGTATAATCCAGTAAAAGACTTGCTGAATGTCTACAAGAAAGTTATTATCACAGTAGTTAAAGAGCTTTCTGAATCCAGGAATTGGAGCCTGCTGCTTGGGTGCATGGAGGGAGGAGGCACAGTTGAACTTACAGACTCTTTGCTTCCTGTAGTTTGTGTTGCTGCTGAATCTCTTTGGAACAGTGTCTGATGTCTTCACAGAACCTGTTTTTCTCTGTCGTCTGATCTTTGCTGGTCACACATAGCTTTGTATTCTGTGATCTATCCATATTCTTTCAACCTCTAAAGACTCTCCATATTGTGCCCCATGCGTTGTTTAATTCCTTAGCAGAGGGGTCTCTCCCAGGTCTAATAGGACTATGGGAACAAACTACCACACTGATAATCCAGGAGGACCTGTTTACATACTTTCAAGATAACCAAGTACAAATCACCCCAGAGTGATGCCTGTGTCTGGTGGTATTTGAGTTCTCAGGTTTTATAGTCATCAATGAATGAAATTGGTGGTCCCAGAATTGTGTCTGTCCACTGGCCTCGGGTTCAGAACCATCAAAGTCCAGAATAATTCTTTCTTGATGGGGCATGTCCCCAGTCACTGAGCTCAGGGCTATCTCTTTTGTGCACATTATAGCCTGAGCCAGCCTCCTGCTCCTGCCTATGTGGCTGGTTAGTGTCTAACCTTCCTACTCTTCACCACTGTCTCTCTGAGCCTTTCCTCACCTAAGCACAAACTGAGGTGGGGCAAAGGGAGGTGGTTTTACTTGTTGATGTTCCCTGATCTCAGGCCTCCAGATTTTTCTCTCAAGTTGACCCCACTTGCTGGAGGAAGCACTATCTCCCCAACTCCTGAAGTGTGTTTGTGCACTGTGAAGGCTGTGGCTTGTCCTAAAGCCAGTTTCATCTGGATTACCCTTGGTGGTGCATTTGGTTTCCCCTTTCCTGCCAGGGAACTGGTGAGGCTGTTTTCTGCTTTCTACCCTACATTGTACATCTGGCCCTTTCTGAGACCCTTTCACTTCCTTCATGGATATCTGAAGCCCTTCCTCTTTTTGAGACACATTCTTCACCCTTCTCCTTGTTCTAAGTCTTATTCTGATTTACAACTTGACAGGCTTACATCAAGGCAGCCATTAGTCTACCATCTGGTCCAGTACTCCCATTTTAAGAATCATCGTTCTTATATGCCTCATATTTAACTGCAATAATTGTTTTTTGGCAAGGTCTAACTATGTAGCCCTGGCGTTCTTAGAACTTCCTTGTAGACCAGACTGGCCTCATACTCACAGAGATATGCCTGTCTCTGAATGCCAACTAACACGAAAGGTGTGTGTGTGTGTGTGCCACCACATCCAGCTAATAATTCTTATTTTAAAAATGATTGTGAAATCCCAAACAAATTTTAGAACTAAAATAAAAGAGGAATATGCTTTGAGCACATTTTACTTCATAGTCTATCTTCATAGCAGTTGGGTTTTCCAAAAAAGAAGGGACGGATACGTGGATGCAGGAGCCTAAGAGGTTCAATAAAGACAAGGATTCAGCATCTGTGGAAGGCAAAGAAGGACAAGCTGGGAAGAGGGAGAAGCCAAGCTACAGTGTCATCTCAACAGAAGCTCCTGCTGCCCACCAGGACTGTTGAGGCATGGCTCCTCAAACTACTGCCACCATATTTTGAATGTCAGTGAGAAAGGTTGAAAAAGGAAGGGAATGGTGAGAGTGGACATCATGGTGAAGAGAAAAGGGGTATCAGGTCTTTTCAATCCCATGTTGACATAGATGGCCCTGGGGAATGGTCCACAAGATGATTCTCTCTAGTAGACTGTTCCCCACAGAGAGCTGGAAATTCAAGGCCTGACTTCAATCAACCTTCTCAACAACTGGGCCATCAGGCCTTCATTCCTTAAAGGGGATATGGGGCTATATTA